TGTTTAGCTGTAGAATTGCATGTGGCTTATTATTGATATATGTGATTATTATTGTATAGTTGTAGAATTAATATGGTAACTATATAGTTTTTATTTTTTTTTAATGTATTTTGTTAGATAATTGTATGGTTTTTTGAAATGTATGTTTTTTTTTTAATGTATATTATTATTGTTTTATGGTTTGTGTAATTTTAAAATAGTTTTAAAATTGTACTTTGTATAGTTTCAAAATTGTATATATTTTAATGATTGTATTAGTTGTAATGGGAATCCCACCGTTTTCTTGTTTTCCATTGTTATGGTGGAATCCCACCAATTTATTGTTTTTGTTATTTTGTTTTTTGGCTTAGGTGAAGATAAAGTGTATGTTTTTTTTGCAAAGATTTACTCAAAATGCATAGAACTGTTGCAATAATATATACCTTATACACAGAATTTCCTGGTTCTTGTCGAGTTTTTGTGCTTTTGGACTGATCCTGATAAGCCTAGTGGGGTAAAAGTACCACTCGGGCAACTTCTGGGGGTTTCTGGCTCTCGTAGAGGATGAATTCGGGGTGAGTTTTGACCGTGGTCTTTGGTCCCTTCCGGAATGAAATTCAGAGTGTGTTGTGTTGATTCTGCTCTTTGTATAATCGATTAACTCGGTTATCCAGCTCGTGCTTGTGTCGTTCATGGGTTGAAAAGTGTCAGGAGTTTGGGTTTTTCTTATTTGGAGTTTTGTTAAATATTGGATTTTTGGTGCCGGGGGGGAGGGGGGAGGAAGGGATACCCGAGTAGCTCAGATGGTACTGATTAAGATTTTACCCGTTAAATTAGAATCCAATTTCAGCCAGGAGTCACCAGCGATGGTTCGAAAATTGAAGTTCCACGAAAAAAAATTACTGAAAAAGGTTGATTTCATATCATGGGAGCTGGATAACAATCTTCATGAAGCAAAAATCCTACGACGTTATAATATCACTAAACGACAGCATTACTCGATGTACAATACGCTCGCTGCTAATGTTAGTTTTATGATATGTCGGCGGGAAAATCAAGATAAGATTAGCCAAGATTGTGATTACGAGGATGAACAGATCCCAGTGCATTCTGTGTTTCATCCCTTAGCTGCAAGCACAGACAAATAAGTTCGTGCCAGTAGGTGCGGGAATCATCGGTACAGCCTCTTGTCTACCATGTGTAGCCATTAAATGCTGCGTGTATATATTTGTATCTGTATGTGCATGTGTTATGTATGTGCATGTGTGTATATATGTGTGTATGTTTGTATATATTTGTATGTATGTATCTGTGTATGTGTGCATGTATGTGTATATGTATGTATGTATGTATGTGTGTATGTATGTATGTATGTATGTATGTATGTATTTGTGTATTTATGTATGTATGTATGTACGCATGTATGTATGCGTGTATTTATGTATGTGTGTGTATGTACATGTGGGTTTTCATCGACGCTGCGAAAGTTTTCTATGATGAGTTTCAAAATTCAGGACCAAAATTCCCTTCACTGTTTCATTCTTTTCGGTATTGAAAAATCTCAAGCGAAGAGCTATTATCAAAAACTTCCAACGCATGTCTTGCCAGGTACTTTGAGACAAGGGGAATACGGACAGAGTGGAAAAGATTCAAAACAGTGCTGCTGAGAAACGGCGGAAACATACACATTTATCACTAAGCAGATTGCAGCCTTCAGGTTAACCCTGCAAGTGCAGATGGCAGAGTGTGAAGACGTAGGAGAAAGTAGTAGAGTGGATTGAAGAAAATAAGAGCGAGATAAGACGTTTCGGTCTATTAAGTCATATACGTCTTAACTCAAC